AGTGACCAGGAATCCAGCGTAGGAACACGTTTCGAGTAGTTACGTCGATGTGTGAGGACGTCCTCTTGCGAACGTCAATTATGGTCGACTTAGCGAGGTTGTATTACAGCGAAGTGACGGACGCAAGGTTGTGAGTGCAACAGCGGTCGTAGGTCTCCGAGCGGAGGCTAGTGTTCGAGCGGCCTGAGGAGCGAGACTGGTGGTCGACCGGCAGTCTGCGACGCGTCGACACGGCGGAAGGGCGACCACATTACGGAGACCCTGACTGAGGAGGTGCACGGACGTCGTGTCGTTAATGTTACAGTCTAGGCACGTATTAATTCAAAGGCGAATATGCAACGTGTTAATTTTTTTCCCTATAATACCGATTATAAGTCCAATTATAAACATTAAGACACGACGATTCGACCACTGTACAAATGTACGAAATTACAAGTTTTTTTCCAGAAATAAAGAGTTTAGACGGATTACCACGTCCGTGAAGAGTGCAAAAAGGGGGGACAGACTTGGTCTCGGGATAGTCGAGACTAACCAATCGACCGCGGCCCGAGCACACTACCAGTAGACGAATTGGCGCGGCGAATCGCGCTGTACACGTTACACAACCTCGCGATCGGTTATCTATCACGCACACAATGCAGAAAACCTTGGAAACCCGCGTAAATCGGCGAACTTCTGTAAATAGGACGTGATTTTTCGGATATCTGTGATGTCCTTTGCGGGTTTCCGCGTACTAAGGGTTATTTATTTAGATTTAAAACAAATTGATATGATTCGATATTAAACAAACTAATTATAGTAGATTAACTACATTATTCAAAAGTATACAGTAATTTACAATAACACGGGAATAATAAACGGAGTGCTCTCTCCCTCTCCCGACAGCCCGTCAGTATCATGCAGCTCGCGGATCAGTAATGAGTGACCCGACAGTAAAACTAAACATATCTATAACTAGTTTAGGTAGTTTGAGAGGTAATATTAAAATAGCTACGTGTGATATTCTAACCTGAAGTGTGTGTTTTGTCCGCTCACCGCTGCATGTGATCATGCAGAGCTGCGTGTCGACTCGTCAGCAGCAGCTGATCTCTCTCTCCCGTCAGATTAGACTTCACTCGCGTTTATGTCCATATCGATCAGATCCAGCTAGTTCTAGCTAATGAAATGAATACCTGCTTATTAAAAGACACCTAAACAATAAGCGTCGCTATGCAACCGGGTAAGGCCGCAAAGTATAGCGCAGCATATGCATTTGTTTACATGCCCACCGGAACCCCTAGGCATTACCAACAGATCAACGCACAATCAACCCATACAGGGCATCTCTTTCTCCACATTAAGTGTTAGACATTAGAATTGACTCTTCTTGTCTTTCACATAAGTTGTGCAACCGATGCGGTATTGTGCTAAGGGGAAATTATTTTGACCGGACATTTTGACCCGAGAGATTTAGATTTGCCGGTCTTCAGCATATTTTAGTCAAAGTCCGGTAATTACCGGCTAACGGAAACTCTGGTGTCTGGTATGTGCTGTCTTTGTTGAGTATAAAACGTGTTTTCCGTCTTGTTTTGGACTACGCGACCTCCTTGTTGTATTTACAATCCAAATAATGTGATTAGTTAAAGCCTTTGCTTATGAAGGAAAGCTCTGAAATGAAATCTCTTTTTGGAAAAAGTTTTGAAACGGCCGCAAAAGTTTTAAATGAACACACAAGTAAAATAACGCCTTGTGCAAAAAGGCCTGAACGCCCATTTCTATAGCACAACCTCAACACACTTAAAACCACATACTTGTTTTAAAAATCATTGTTCTAAGCCCAAATTAAAAGAACCTTCCAGTCAAATCTGCAGTAAATTAACTAGACTCCTCCGTTTCTTCAGGCCACCCTGAACGCTCGCACCTCCATCCTGGCTGCAGCCAACCCTGTGGGCGGGCGATACGACCGCAGCAAGAGTCTGAAGCAGAACGTCAACATGACCGCCCCCATCATGAGCCGCTTCGACCTCTTCTTCATCCTGGTGGACGACTGTAACGAGGTAAGCAGCATAGTCTGTATATTTGTTTTTGTTTTACAATTTGAAGTGCGTTTTAATATTTTCTTACTTTCATAAATCCTCTCTGCTCTAAATATCCAATTCTCCTACTTAACGTTCTATCTGATCATGTGTGTATCCAAGGTGACGGACTACGCCATCGCAAGACGCATCGTGGACCTGCACTCGCGCATTGCAGAATCTGTGGACAGACTGTACTCTCTGGATGAGATCCGCAGATATCTGCTCTTTGCAAGGCAGTTCAAACCCAAGGTGCGCGTCTGACTGCTGCGATTAAGCGTGTTAGCATCAGGTTAGCAATGTATACGCTTCTGATCGGTATTAAACTGTTCCGTGTTCCGTATCTGTAGATTTCCAGCGAATCCGAAGAGTTCATCGTGGAGCAGTACAAGCGTCTCAGACAGCGTGACAGCTCCGGAGGCGTGACCAAGTCGGCCTGGAGGATAACGGTGCGGCAGCTGGAGAGCATGATCCGCCTGTCGGAGGGCATGGCCCGCATGCACTGCTGCGACGAGGTGGGTGCCAAGAATGATTTGCTGCTCAGCAAAAAAAAAGGGTGCACAGATTAAAGTTGTACACACTTGAATTCAGGACACAATGTAACTCTTAAAGTGATAGTGTTGCATTTTAGGAGCCCTATTATGCTTTTTGGGGTTTTCCTATAGTGTGTTGAATACGTTTTAGTGCATGTAAATGGTCTGCAAAGGCTAAAATCCCAAATTTCACTACAGAGGGAGTTTCTGCAAGATTTCTGCTCATGTTTGAAACTTTCTGCACATTTAAACATATCTGTTTTCTGAGATGATGGGAATTAGCCAAAGATATTTGGAGAAAGTTGTACTATTTAGAAAACAGTTGTAATTTAGTGGGAATAGAAGCCAACATTTTTGGAAGGCTCAAATCTCACCCTTTGTGAAGGTTTTTGCTCACATGTTAACTTTTCCACCTTCGATTAAATGCAGACTACTAAAGCTTTTCAATGGGAACCACATCCTGGACTATTAAACTACTCACAAGTTTTTGCTTTGCACCAGGATTTTGATCTTTTCCTTTCTGTTAATGTCTTAAGGTGCAGCCCAAACACGTAAAGGAAGCCTTCCGTCTGCTGAACAAATCCATCATCAGAGTGGAGACGCCCGACATCAACCTGGGGCAGGATGACGACCTGGAGGAAGAGGAGCAACAGGAGGATGGTACTGACACACAAACGTATAAATGCACCTGCAAGGGCGCAACATAACTAAACTAGAGCTGAAGTTTGTTCCTGAACTGAAAAGACATTCAGGTTTCTAACGCAAATGTTATCTCTGCAGGAAACGCCATCCCTAATGGAGTGAATGCTGTAAACGGCCTCACAAATGGTGTTAACGGCCACCCAGATGGTGTCAATGGGCCCACAAATGGAACTAACGGCAACACAAACGGTGTGGAGGGACACACTGAGCCAGGCAGCCAGGTCAAACCAGCTCTCCGCCTGTCTTTCCCCGAGTACAGGCGTATTTCCAACCTGCTGGTCTTGCATTTGCGCCGGGCAGAAGAAGGTGTGAGACTCTCTTCATACTTATTGCAAAAAAAGATTCTTAGTTATTTTTGGTCTAACCTTTTCCCTGTTGTCTGTTTCAGCTGAGGAAGAGGAGGAGTTGAAGAAAAGTGCAGTGGTGAACTGGTATCTGAAGGAGATCGAGTCGGAGATTGACTCCGAAGAGGAGCTGGTCAATAAGAAGGGTCTGATAGAGAAGGTCCTCCACAGACTGGTGCACTATGTGAGTCCACACGCTGCGAACATACAGCCATGAATGGAGGTCGTTTTGTGTTTGACTTCACTTAACCCTGTGCCTCTCTGCTTCTCCAGGATCACATCCTCATCGAGCTGTCTCCGTCCGGGCTGAAGGGCTCAGAATCTGCTGGCACAGAAGAAGTCGTGTTTGTCGTCAACCCCAACTACACCCTGGAAGATTAAACATCACCCCTGTGTCTATGTTTTCTTCACCCCCCTTACAACTTCCATCCTTGTTGATATTTTACTTCAACAATAAAGTTGATGTTCAAGGTGTTGTTCAATGCTCATATGTAACGCATACATACCAGAAGCATCAGAGATGTTATGCGACTTGTTTTGTACTGTACAGAATATTCTGGGGCTCTTAAAAATAAGACATTCATAGTCAAACTGCTTTGTAAATATGCTGCTCTGTTCTCCAGTTGTTTGATGGTTTCTGTCTGTTTTGACCCCACATTAAGGAAACTGCCCTAGAATTGTCCCATCGCTTATTCCACAACTGTATATTTGACATTGAGGCTCTATGGTTTCAATGTGATTTTGTAAAATGATGAAATAAATTGAATAAAAAAGTTGCTTAAAGAAATAAAATATTGACAAACCAAAAGCTATTCGATGTTGTTCCTGCCGTATTTAATTATGATTACACCAGTAGGTCGTTTAGGTTGAAAATGACTTTAAATAAAAAAACATTTTCTGTATTCTCTTATGACAAGTTTTCATGTCATATTTTTTCTGATATGTCAGCCTTTTTTCCCCAAAAAATTACCGTCCTATAATATGAAAAAAATTAATTATTTTCAAAATGCACTTTACTAAGTCGTTTTTGTGCATGTTTTTGACATAGGCCTACTATACTAAAATCGGAACTTACGACTGCCTACTATTTTTTATTTCACAAAAATGTGACTGTTTTTCCCAAAAAAAATCATACTATAGGCCTACTATTACATTTTTCAATAGTGACTTTTTATCACATTTTGTATTTATAATACTATCATACTTTAACTTTTTTTCCACGATATTTTCGACATACTTTATTGACTTTTTTTCAAAATGTTCTTTTGCTTTAAAAAACATTCTCATTCCTTTCACCTTTTTCGACATGCTATTGCTGCCTATTTCTGTATTTTTTGGACATACTAAACTATTACTCTATCAACACTACTGTGTGGTGTTAACTGCGCATGTCAGACATTACTCAACATAACATGGCGGCGCCCTACGTGACAGCAGTCAGGACATTACTGAAAGGTAAAACACAGACATTACACATTGTTTTTGAACGATTATTATCCAACCTATCTTCTACAAAGGCTGTGGTACAGTTACTTGTCTAAATAATGTAACGTAGCGTTATTTTTCCCTGTTAGGAGTTTGCTATGTTCCCGAACGATGGCTCCTTACGCAGAGGAGCCGAGCCCCGGCAGTAAGTCAGTGTTCGCAGCTACATGTCTCCCCTGCTGCCTCCCTGTGCAGCTCCAAGACCGGGGCTCACAGCAAAGCCGACCCACGCACAGACGACAGGAAAGCCGGGGAGCAAGAGGAGGAGGAGGAGGGTCCTGAATACATGCCCAGGAGAAAGGCAAAGAATCCCATGATGCCTATTGGCTATGCATGGTAAATCTCTTCATTCATCTACAATCCTTTATATTGGTAAAACACTTCAGACAACACCATTTATTTGACTGCTTCTGTTTTATTTCCGCCCTGGCAGACTAGCTGTCCGATCTACTCATATATATATATATATATTATTTAAACTGTTTGACTGATGTGCTGAAAATAGCAAGGTCTGTCAATGTTGTTGAAACAGAAACTATGTAGAAATACATTTATACAAGGGGAGGGACACTATACCCAGATTTGACTTTTATGTGCTTTTATATTCATTAAAGTAAAACAATTGTCTTTCATTCAGAAGTACTGCAGAAACAACAGTCATATCTTCTCCAGGGTAATATAATCTCCATTTTGATCTATACACACACTCAAATAAACAGGGTGGACAAAGTATAAGGGTTGCTCAGTTTAACAAAAATACTGAAACATTGCATTTATATCTTATTGTGACTTAGGTGTCTTCATTACATAATACCATACAATGAAACCTTTTGCATTTTCAAACAATTTGCTCCCCCTTAGTACCACAACATGTGGAGTGTTTCTCCATACTCTGCATCAATATGGATACTGTAAGTGTTGAGCACTGAAAAAAAATCAATATATTACATTTCTTCCCTCCAGGATGATAGGCCTCCCCGTAGGTATCATCGGCTTCCTGCTGACCAAGAGAGAAGTTGACAAGAACCGACTGAAGCAGCTGAAGGTCCGACAGAGGATGAGGATGTCAAACGAAGGAGAATATGAGGGGAGTCGCTACCGCCAGCATAAAGAGGATCTCAAACTTGAGCGATGATGTATATGTATGGCTGCAATGTTATGCACATATCCTAAATGTCACCACTGAGACGTTCACTTCACTGCAGCAAAAAGACTGATTACAGAAGAAAACTTCATGAGTTTAAAAACCTCTGAGTATTTCTTTCTGAAGCAAAAACATGAAATTATGCTTGTGACAGCCATTTTGTTTGTCTTTGGGCAGATTTGATTTTTCCTGCTTATGTACAGAGATGCTTATAGATCACTTTGTTGAATCTGGAGAAAGAACATTTATTTGATTGATGCTGATGTTTGTTAAATATGATAAAGCAAATAAATTTATATTTATACAGAATTTGTGAAACCTGGAAAAATGCACATGAACACCGTAATCAAATACACATATTTATTTGATATGAAAAAGGCAAACATCATTAACATGTATATTTACAAACCCGTACCCCACACTGACACTCTGCTTCACATTCAACATGTCCACCGTAGCTGTTTTGAGGCAAGGGTTATATGTAACATGGGTCTATAACATAGCGTCTATACTTGTGGAGAAGACTAGCTGGCTGCGATTGGTCATTTAGGAGCATTTGAACAATGATCTATTAATTTAACAACATGGCATTGACTGTGTTATCCTGTAAGAAAAAAAAGCCCTGCTAGCACCTATGCATCTGACCGAGGTCTGACCATGACACCAGAATATATGTATAAAAAGGATACTTATGTAACAATACTCATAAGTCTGTGGTAAAACAAATGAATCTCTGATACATCTTCATTGTGAAGGCACTGTAGTGATGTAGAACCATATATATGTATGTTAAAAACGTGTGTAGTTACAATCAGATGCACCGAGCTATTTGGTGGGCAGATTGGTCACCAAAGTATCAATACTGCTGATGCTAAGAGTAGTTTGGAGTATCCAGACTGTCGCTAGAATCTATACCAAATGTAACATGTGTAATGCACATACACTCTAAAAGCAGATTTATTAGCTTTTCATTTGCTGTTGTGTGCATATCTGTTGAGCTCACCTTTCAAACTATTTACATTAAATCCTACTTGGCCTTTGGACTGATGTATAGCCTACAATTAAAGCCAAGTCAAAAATTGAGAAATATGCTTATAAAATTGCTGAGAGAATTTGGGGCGATATATACCAATCATGCCTGTCCTATGAACACAAAGCTACAGCTGGGAGGTAGTTAGCTTAGCTTAGCATAAAAACAAAAATGGGAGGGAAACCTTTAGCCAGAATTCGTACGAAAGTTGTTTGTTCCACTTATCTCCACCTCTTAAGCAAGTTCTATTTTAAAATGAAAAGTTCAGGAAGTTGCTAATAGAGGGCAAGAATAATTCTGGCATATCAGGAAAAACATGCACAACCTTAAGTAGGCCTATGTACACTTAGATTTTCTATGACCTAACCCTAAGCGTGATATTACATTTTAAATTTGTGAGAATTCTTTTTTACCCTCAGAAGGAGCCAGACTAGCCATTTCGAATCATTCATGTTAAGCTAATTACTTGCTTGCTGCAGTTTACCCCATAGAACTATTACATCAACGATTTGGCGCAAATGTTAAAGAAGAAATGCCTGATGTTGGAAAAATATTTCCTTGGTTAAAATGTAGATAAAAGTAGGCTATTATAGATTAATTCAATAAATTAACCATGATACGTTTTTACTCAACAATTAGGTATATAACCTGCTTTAAATACAAACAATCACTATCCTGGCCATTGAGTTTGTTTGGTTATCGGCAACCACATTTTGAGGCATTGCCCAGCCCCACCTACTTTACTTCAACGCCACAAGAGACGGGCCTCTGTGTTGGCAAAATTGAGATGGAATTAAAAAAAAGAAATCTATGCCCATTTTCTCTTTTTTTTTTTACAGATAGGCACCAGTCCATGTGTAGCAGAACATCATGAGAAGACACATTTGGAGACACCGTCTGCGTTAAAACATGAGTCCGGTAAGAGTGAATAAATGTTGCAGCTGGCAGTCCAGTGTCCATAGGTATCTAATGTATTTACATTGTATTATTAATACTCTTTTAAAGCCACTGATAATTTGCTTAATGCAGATAAATATTCATTTCGAAAAAAGTGCATTTTTTTGTGCATAGGATTCACCTATGACAAAACTTTAAATTCAGCCCTTGACATTTGTATTATACGTCATGATTTTAATAAATGTATTCTGATTCTGACTGACAGCAAAAGCTTTAAAAAAAAAAGGTGGGTTTGTTGTCTGCACCCTGTCATTTGTTTTCCCTTGGGTGCACTTATTTGGTAGAAGCACCAATAATCTGCAGCAGGAAAAGGAAGATCTGGACGATGTCGACGTAAATGGAGAGTGCGGCGAACACATACTCCTCTGGGCTGATGGAGTGCTTCCTGTTGCCTATCAGCAGCTGGGTGTGGTAAGCTAGGAACTATAAGACAAGCAGGAAACATTTAGACTAACACTGGAACAAGTGATACACAAAGGATCATCACAGGGTTAACAGTAAAGAAAATAACATTAAATTGCATAATACGCACCAGAGTGAAAGCGATGGCTCCTATACCTGCATAGAGCATGTGAAGCCACGGGATCTGAAACAGCAAACAGTCGTTACAATGAAGGAAACTGGAAAAGCTTTCATGACGAAATTGGGTTTTTATCCTTAACTCACATATTTGAATGACAGCACAATGGTTGTTATGATGCCAGTCACGAACACTACGATCCCCAGGACACAGAAAAGACCCTGGCACTTTGTAAAGTCCACCTAAAAAGAGAAAACAGCTGCGTTAAAACACATGAAAAAAAAAAATACACTGCGACATTTCATCTGATGAGCACACACAAACCCCACCTTTGTCTGGAAGCAGAAGACGGTGACGGCGATGCAGACGACGGCAGTGATCCCCAGAGCGAGAAACACTGCTTTTGTGTCATAGTAACTAAAAACAAAGAGCAACACAGTTTGTTTTGAGGGACACTGATAGGAATGTCCATGCAAATAAACAGAAGTGTTTTTTTTGTACATGTCTTACCTGGAAACTGATCCTGTCACATAGGAGAAAGCCAGGGTCTGTGAAAAAATAACAAAGGACATCTATTGGTCGATCTAAAATTACAACGGCATCACAATATTCTAGAAAAACAAATCCTGTTACCGATTTAAAATCGCCGATTAAAAGCTACGAAAGGGCTGCACTAGGGATGGGACAATGTATGATGTTATTAAGGATTTAATTCAAATAAAAAGGGCATCCTGTTGAATTAACATTTCAGGGATATTATTAGTTATTACATGCCTATACTAATCATACTCGATTCTGATTGGAAATTTCAGAGGTTGTTAATACTTGATAACACATCACTGCTAAGCAAAAATAATGACCGTTGCTATGGAGGATCAAGGGAGAGAAGGAAAGAGGTTCAAATATGTAAAGTAAGCCAACAGGAACACGTGATGGGCTCTGGCAGCGTTTAAAGACTTGTTAGTGGAAAAGAAACTGAACAGACTTGGACAGATACAGAAAACCTGGATCATTGCTGACGTTCATTTTAAGTAACGTTGATGTTTCCGCTGTTCCAGCCATTGTTGGTGCGCCGTGGAACAGAGTGTCCTTTCTTAGCTTAAGCAATACGATCATTCTTAAGTTAATAATTCATTTTCGTTTAATATTGGGAGTCAAGTAATATGAGTATTTAGAAAAGCGGTATATAAATGTAATGTATTCAAATGATTGTGAAATACATCATGTAAGACAAACAGACTTAAAAACAATAACTTATCTCACCATATGATTTATGGTTACCTTATATCACTTATAACAGATGTGTCCTATAATGCAATTTCCTAACTAGATGTAGGTTTAAGGGATTCCAGTATGTTTTATGCCAGTGCCAGAGTTGTCAGCATACTTTGATAATATATGTATATGGTATTAGTTTAGATAATCGTGACATGTCCTTTTTTAATATGGACGCATGCTAAGGCGATTCAATTGAAAAAAAGGATGGTCTCCTTAAGTAAATAATAAAACTTGAAATATAACTGAAACATATTATTGTATATTCTTATTTAAAAAATTATATGAAATCTAGAAACTATCCCCACAAAGCTGAACAATAACAGTCTCTACCAACAGAATAAACTGCGCCATGACTTAATCCATAAAGCCATTTTGCAATATGCAAACACAGCCTGATTCATGTGTGGTGACTCACTGTTTAGTACCAAAGACAAGCTTCTAACTTTGAGATGAGACCAGCCTAGGCTGTGTGAATTATCTACTCTAAGAATAGACTTGAACCACATCCAGGACACTGGCAGTAAAGGCAGTAATTACAAGTTTACACTTCCTGATTCATAGGTCAATCACAAGACTCACAAAGATGCTAAGCAGAATGACGTTCCATGGGAACTTCCTCCTACAAAGAGGGTGAGATAATAAGATTAAATGCAGTTTTATAAATATTCTTTGGGCAAATATTCTTCAGAAAACGTTGTCACACTCACCTGGGGCCCTTACAGCAGACCAGCACAAGGTGGGTGACGAAATACACAGCGCTAAAACGAAAACATTTAGAGATGAAAATATAACAAATACAAACTTTCATTTTAATTCTTACAAAAGATCCAGGGTAAGACTTACTATGATGCCCAGTAGAGAGCTGGGTTTTTCTGTACGAACAATCTGACAGGTCGGCTGTGAGAAACAGAGGCAGAGTTAGCAGCGTGACGCATAGAGACACAAATGCAAACAGAGATCAAACCACACTCTATATACTCACACAAATGTGAATATAGCCACAACAGATGTGGTGACGAGGAGCTGAGCAGCCAAAATCAAATACACCTGAAAAACACACGCAGAAAAAAGGTAAATTACACCCTGTTACACATCTTTGCTCTTAGACTCAAATTAAATGATAACACAAGACCGATTTTATTATGGTTTGTGCGTTTTACCTTTCTGATGAAGGCATGACGAATGCTCATACTGTCGAAACCGCTGCCCCTCGCCGCAAACCCATCATCTGGGTCATCTGCAGAAATATGACCACAAACACTCAATGTATCACAGGAAATTCAAAGTTTAAAGCCAGGACAGAGGTGACGTATTGACCCCTACAATGGTCTGTTTTTATTTCTTCAGTCTACTGTTATTTGTTCTTTACTTCCAAATTAATGTATTATTGTTATTTACATTATGTATCTTACTCCATAAAGAAATGTATTCCCTTTTGACCGCTTTGTGGGATGCACTATTCTAAAATTACAATAAAAAAATGTTGATACCAAACAAAGAAATCTATGGGCGCTCTCACATCCACAATACATGGTCCAGATAATTAAGTTTGATATTAACCAAAATTACAGGTGTAAAACCCAAACATGGTCAGGGCTACACATCTGTAGTCCATGCTGTATTACATTTGTAATAAAGTTTCACTTGTGAAAATAAATACTCAGTTATTTCCAGAGAGGATGCAGAAAGTATAGGAGAGGGCAATTCCACAAACCAATCAATGTCAAGCAAAGGGAGACGCAGCTCACCTGGGTGATGTCGACATGACAGGTCATGTCATGTGTCGTTAGTGCACTCGCATTGTTGCAATGCGAAATCAAAACTAACCAAAT